AGTCTGTACGCCTGGATATATGTTTACAACATTGGATAGTGGGCTACCTAGACCGAAGTCTGTACGCCTGGATATATGTTTACAACATTGGATAGTGGGCTACCTAGACCGAAGTCTGTACGCCTGGATATATGTTTACAACATTGGATAGTGGGCTACCTAGACCGAAGTCTGTACGCCTGGATATATGTTTACAACATTGGATAGTGGGCTACCTAGACCGAAGTCTGTACGCCTGGATATATGTTTACAACATTGGATAGTGGGCTACCTAGACCGAAGTCTGTACGCCTGGATATATGTTTACAACATTGGATAGTGGGCTACCTAGACCGAAGTCTGTACGCCTGGATATATGTTTACAACATTGGATAGTGGGCTACCTAGACCGAAGTCTGTACGCCTGGATATATATTCCACACCATTGGATAGTGGGCTACCTAGACCGAAGTCTGTACGCCTGGATATATGTTTACAACATTGGATAGTGGGCTACCTAGACCGAAGTCTCTACGCCTGGATATATGTTTACAACATTGGATAGTGGGCTACCTAGACCGAAGTCTGTACGCCTGGATATATGTTTACAACATTGGATAGTGGGCTACCTAGACCGAAGTCTGTACGCCTGGATATATGTTTACAACATTGGATAGTGGGCTACCTAGACCGAAGTCTGTACGCCTGGATATATGTTCCACACCATTGGATAGTGGGCTACCTAGACCGAAGTCTGTACGCCTGGATATATATTCCACACCATTGGATAGTGGGCTACCTAGACCGAAGTCTGTACGCCTGGATATATGTTTACAACATTGGATAGTGGGCTACCTAGACCGAAGTCTGTACACCTGGATATATGTTTACAACATTGGATAGTGGGCTACCTAGACCGAAGTCTGTACGCCTGGATATATGTTTACAACATTGGATAGTGGGCTACCTAGACCGAAGTCTGTACACCTGGATATATGTTTACAACATTGGATAGTGGGCTACCTAGACCGAAGTCTGTACGCCTGGATATATGTTTACAACATTGGATAGTGGGCTACCTAGACCGAAGTCTGTACACCTGGATATATGTTTACAACATTGGATTGTGGGCTACCTAGACCGAAGTCTGTACGCCTGGATATAAGTTCCACACCATTGGATAGTGGCCTACCTAGACCGAAGTCTGTACGCCTGGATATATGTTTACAACATTGGATAGTGGGCTACCTAGACCGAAGTCTGTACGCCTGGATATATGTTCCACACCATTGGATTGTGGGCTACCTAGACCGAAGTCTGTACGCCTGGATATAAGTTCCACACCATTGGATAGTGGCCTACCTAGACCGAAGTCTGTACGCCTGGATATATGTTCATACCATTGGATAGTGGGCTACCTAGACCGAAGTCTGTACGCCTGGATATATGTTCCACGCCATTGGATAGTGGGCTACCTAGACCGAAGTCTGTACGCCTGGATATATGTTCCACGCCATTGGATAGTGGGCTACCTAGACCGAAGTCTGTACGCCTGGATATATGTTCCACGCCATTGGATAGTGGGCTACCTAGACCGAAGTCTGTACGCCTGGATATATGTTCCACACCATTGGATAGTGGGCTACCTAGACCGAGGTCTGTACGCCTGGATATATGTTCCACACCATTGGATAGTGGGCTACCTAGACCGAGGTCTGTACGCCTGGATATATGTTCCACACCATTGGATAATACGCTACCTAGACCGAAGTCTGTACGCCTGGATATATGTTCCACACCATTGGATAATACGCTATCTAGACCGAAGTCTGTACGCCTGGATATATGTTCCACACCATTGGATAGTACGCTATCTAGACCGAAGTCTGTACGCCTGGATACATGTTCACACCATTGGATAGTGGGCTACCTAGACCGAAGTCTGTACGCCTGGATATATGTTCCACACCATTGGATAGTGGGCTACCTAGACCGAAGTCTGTACGCCTGGATATATGTTCCACGCCATTGGATAGTGGGCTACCTAGACCGAAGTCTGTACGCCTGGATATAGGTTCCACACCATTGGATAGTGGGCTACCTAGACCGAAGTCTGTACGCCTGGATATATGTTCCACACCATTGGATAGTGGGCTACCTAGACCGAAGTCTGTACGCCTGGATATATGTTCCACACCATTGGATAGTGGGCTACCTAGACCGAAGTCTGTACGCCTGGATATATGTTCCACACCATTGGATAGTGGGCTACCTAGACCGAAGTCTGTACGCCTGGATATATGTTCCACACCATTGGATAGTGGGCTACCTAGACCGAAGTCTGTACGCCTGGATATATGTTCCACACCATTGGATAGTGGGCTACCTAGACCGAAGTCTGTACGCCTGGATATATGTTCCACACCATTGGATAGTGGGCTACCTAGACCGAAGTCTGTACGCCTGGATATATGTTTACACCATTGGATAGTGGGCTACCTAGACCGAAGTCTGTACGCCTGGATATGTGTTTACACCATTGGATAGTGGGCTACCTAGACCGAAGTCTGTACGCCTGGATATATGATTACACCATTGGATAGTGGGCTACCTAGACCGAAGTCTGTACGCCTGGATATATGTTTACACCATTGGATAGTGGGCTACCTAGACCGAAGTCTGTACGCCTGGATATATGCTTACACCATTGGATAGTGGGCTACCTAGACCGAAGTCTGTACGCCTGGATATATGTTTACACCATTGGATAGTGGGCTACCTAGACCGAAGTCTGTACGCCTGGATATATGTTTACACCATTGGATAGTGGGCTACCTAGACCGAAGTCTGTACGCCTGGATATATGTTTACACTATTGGATAGTGGGCTACCTAGACCGAAGTCTGTACGCCTGAATATATGTTTACACCATTGGATAGTGGGCTACCTAGACCGAAGTCTGTACGCCTGGATATATGTTTACACCATTGGATAGTGGGCTACCTAGACCGAAGTGTACACCTGGATATATGTTCACACCATTTGATAGTGGGCTACCTAGACCGAAGTCTGTACGCCTGGATATATGTTCACACCATTGGATAGTTGGCTACCTAGACCTAAGTCTGTACGCCTGGATATATGTTTACACTATTGTATAGTGGGCTACTAAGACCGAAGTCTATACGCCTGAATATATGTTCACACCATTGGATAGTGGGCTACCTAGACCGAAGTCTGTACGCCTGGATATATGTTCACACCATTGGATAGTGGGCTACCTAGTCCGAAGTCTGTACGCCTGGATATATGTTTACACCATTGGATAGTGGGCTACCTAGACCGTAGTCTGTACGCCTGGATATATGTTTACACCATTGGACAGTGGGCTACCTAGACCGAAGTCTGTACGCCTGGATATATGTTTACACCATTGGATAGTGGGCTACCTAGACCGAGGTCTGTACGCCTGGATATATGTTTACACCATTGGATAGTGGGCTACCTAGACGAAGTCTGTACGCCTGGATATATGTTTACACCATTGGATAGTGGGCTACCTAGACCGAAGTCTGTACGCCTGGATATATGTTTACACCATTGGATAGTGGGATACCTAGACCGAAGTCTGTACGCCTGAAAATATCTTTGCACCATTGGATAGTGGGCTACCTAGACCGAAGTCTGTACGCCTGGATATATGTTTACACCATTGGATAGTGGGCTACCTAGACCGAAGTCTGTACGCCTGGATATATGTTTACACCATTGGATAGTGGGCTACCTAGACCGAAGTGTACACCTGGATATATGTTCACACCATTGGATAGTGGGCTACCTAGACCGAAGTCTATACGCCTGGATATACTGTATGTTCACACCATTGGATAGTGGGCTACCTACACCGAAGTCTGTACGCCTGGATATATGTTTACACCATTGGATAGTGGGCTACCTAGACCGAAGTCTGTACGCCTGGATATATGTTTACACCATTGGATAGTGGGCTACCTAGACCGAAGTCTGTACGCCTGGATATATGTTTACACCATTGGATAGTGGGCTACCAAGACCGAAGTCTATACGCCTGAATATATGTTCACACCATTGGATAGTGGGCTACCTAGATAGAAGTCTGCACGCCTGGATATATGTTTACACCATTGGATAGTGGGCTACCTAGACCGTAGTCTGTACGCCTGGATATATGTTTACACCATTGGACAGTGGGCTACCTAGACCGAAGTCTGTACGCCTGGATATATGTTTACACCATTGGATAGTGGGCTACCTAGACCGAAGTCTGTACGCCTGGATATATGTTCCACACCATTGGATAGTGGGCTAACTAGACCGAAGTCTGTTCGCCTGGATATATGTTTACGATAAAGATGAAAATTTTGCCAAGAAAATAAATTTATCTATAGAAAGAATGGCCACATCTCTCCCGTCAGAATAGAAGCTAAATCTAAGCGCCATCCATTGACCGTCTCCACAACCTAGCAGATTCGGGTCGTTGACAAAGCCACAACACCAGGTTTGTTAAATCAGGCCTGGACTGACGTGGGCCATTAGCCCGACATCATGGTCTCCATATCATTCTTCTGAATTTACCAAACTTGGTGTTGCGTCTTTGTACACGAATAGAATCCGCTAGTTTGGAAATGATGCAAAGTTTTAGCGTCTATTTTGACGAATGAGGTGACCATTCCTTTTATATGTTTACAATATTATAGTAAAATTTCATCATCTAAGCGACAAGGTAATTTAGATGATTATGGATATACTAGACGAATGACCCGGGCAACGGGTTTACCCGATTAAATGTTTTATTCAAACACTATTCGTTACAATTATAAATTGGCGCCGTGGATGTCACTCTTGTGAAACGTCCCGCTCCAAACTTTACAGTCAGATTAGTTACGATATAAATCTTCAAATCGAGCGTGCGTCTATAAATATTTCGATTGAATATTTAGTTTTAATATTTAATTTGTATATAATTTAAAATAACCTATCGTTGTCCTAAGTAGCCTAGTGGTCATGGCATCTGCCCGGTAAGCGGAAGGTCGTGGGTTCGATTCCCATCCCTTGACACTTTTTTTATTTTATCCATTCTGACCAAAATCTATCCGTGAACTTCACACAGTGAACTTCACTCAGACAGAATAAGGCAATTATAAAAGTAGATAATAATAATAATTATCATTAGATAATGATGATGATGCGCGCGTTGATGACCAAAATCTATCCGTGAACTTCACACAGACAGAATAAGGCAATTATATAAGTAGATATTTTGAAAAAATAGAGCAATCCATATTTGTATATTGGTAATAAAAAAGGCATATATATGAATACAATATAACGCGGCTAATGATTGTAAAACGAAAATTGAAATTTTACCGCGAATGTTTCTTTTATAAAAATCGAAATTTATTTTCAAAGAGAAATAGCGACATTTCTAACTTTGAGGATGAGGTATGGAAAGGTGAAACATGAAGAGTAATGGCGAACGGAAAAATAAAAAGTGTCCAGGGGCGGGAATCGAACCCACACCCTTCTGCTTACCGGGCAGGTGCCTTGTCCACTCGGCTACCCTGGACGTATTTTTCCGTTCGTAACTAATACTTAAAGTAACATTTAAAATACAATATAACACGGCTAATGATTGTAAAACGAAAATTGAAATTTTACCGCGAATGTTTCTTTTATAAAAATCGAAATTTATTTTCAAAGAGAAATAGCGACATTTCTAACTTTGAGGATGAGGTATGGAAAGGTGAAACATGAAGAGTAATGGCGAACGGAAAAATAAAAAGTGTCCAGGGGCGGGAATCGAACCCACACTCTTCTGCTTACCGGGCAGGTGCCTTGTCCACTCGGCTACCCTGGACGTATTTTTCCGTTCGTAACTAATACTTAAAGTAACATTTAAAATACAATATAACGCGGCTAATGATTGTAAAACGAAAATTGAAATTTTACCGCGAATGTTTCTTTTATAAAAATCGAAATTTATTTTCAAAGAGAAATAGCGACATTTCTAAGTTTGAGGATGAGGTATGGAAAGGTGAAACATGAAGAGTAATGGCGAACGGAAAAATAAATTTCTCTATTTATTTCTCTTTGAAAATAATTTTCGATTTTTATAAAAGAAACATTCGCGGTAAAATTTCAATTTTCGTTTTATATATATGAATGCTTTTAAGAGAGAGTGTGAGGGGTCCTCTCTTTATAGAAAATATATATTATAAAATAATTATTTATAAAATATATACACAATTCTATTAATTTTTCATGTTGAATAAACATATTATTTATTAAAATGTCTGTATATAAGTTTTGTCTTATAGATATATCGTTCAGTTGACACAGTACACCTTCTATATAATCAGAAACAAGTGCAGAAACAACCATTTGAACAAAAAGTCTTATTTATTTGTATATATAGGTTTGATGGTTTGTCAAGTAGAATAAAAAGGTCGAGCTGTGTTATTTGAGAAAATTGATTCGTGTGTTTTTTTTTGCTATAAATCATTTTAAAAATATTTTCCGTTTCCGTCATTTATTGAATTAAATATTCAAAGTTATTTGTAGACTAAATTGGATTTCGAAATGGGAGTGAAATAGGATTTTCTGTGCTTGAATGACGAATATGTTCTCTAGTATTAGTGATAGTTTGTGTATTATGTTGTTTTCTCCGTTCTATTTTCAAATTACAAGCAGTATTACAATTTTCAAAAATAGAAGGTGGGTCGACAGTGTTGACCAAGAACATAGACTTAATATATATATGTTATATAAAAATTATATAATATTTTAAAATTATAACTCCCAGATCAAATTGCTCTGTTAAGTCTACCACCAGATGTCGCGGTTTTCCTAATATAAATACATTGTTGTTGTTTCCCGTTGGCCGGCTCAAACCTTTTGTAATTATGTAAATAAGTTTTTTTTTCCTTATTATACTCGTCTTAAGTCAGGCAGTACTTTTCTCAAATTATGTATTCTTTATTAGCACAATTAGAGCAAATTGTGATTCAAACTTTATTTTATTAATATCTTTCCACGACTGCAAAACAATATCACATACTCATGGATTCCAAGATGAAGCAAATGACCAAATATTCCTCTACAATAAAATAAAAGCTTATCTCAATAATATTCGAAAAACAGCATAAAATTATTTTTTATATAATATATATATAAATACTAGCGGATGTGCCCGGCTTCGCCCGGGTTTTACCCGAGTGAATGTTTGTCTAACGAACATTTGTTAGAACAATTCTCTTTAAGCTTATAAAACGTACTCGGCTTCGGCCGGGGTTTTACCCGAGTAAAGGTTTGTCTAGCGAACATTTGTTAAAACAATTCTCTAAAAACTTATTAAAAAATAAGAAAGATATATTTTGATAATTTGAAACTCGTAAATTTGAATCTCTCGATAAAGTGAACATTTTTTCCCGGTCCCTGTGTGCCTTGTCATCCTGAATTTTGTCTTTCCTAATTTTCTACATTAGAAAATCATAGTTTTATCTAGTGAACATTTTTCCCGGTCCCTTGAGAAATACTCGATAAGTTGAATAAAATCAATATTAATTGGTTCCCTCGGTAATTGGAAGTTAAAGGAATAGTATCTTCGCCTTGGAATTGTATCATTATTCTTGTCGCAAATAAATTGCCGTGTCATCCTGAGATAATCTTACTTTTGATAAATAATATTTAAGATAACAAACTTAGTGATAAGAAAACTTGTTATCATCGTCACAATGGGGGGGCTGCTTGCGAGTTAAATCTACAAATCTGCAAATAACTCTAAGGATATTCAAGATATTCATGAAATTATTTTTCAAAAACCTTCCCGGTGATATACCTAATAATATCCCAAAATTTCACGGCGATTGGATGTATGGTTTTTAATCTATAGAGTACAGACAGACAGACATTCAATTTTATATATATAAGATAATATAAATGAGTTTTAAAAATTGTAAAAAAAAAAAATGCATCGGCCGGGAATCGAACCCGGGCCGCCCGCGTGGCAGGCGAGCATTCTACCACTGAACCACCGATGCTTAAAAAAATGGCCATATTTAGGTATTCATTCCATTCCGGATTAGTCCGCGTAAAAAAAGTTCTTCAAATGAAAAAAAAAAGAAATAGCCAAAAATACAAATCAAAACGCAGCCGAAAATTTTCCTCAGGTTTATAAAAAGCGACATGCAAAATTTGGTACCAATTGGTTCAGTAGTTTTTGAGTTTATCGCGAAACAGACAGACAGACAGAAATTGACTTTTATATTTATATAGAGATTTACTCTTCATTGTTGGCTTTTTAACTTACATTAATTCTTCATTGTTGGCTTTTTATATTACATTCACTCTTCATTGTTGGCTTTTTATCTTACATTCACTCTGTTGGCTTTTTATATTACATTTACTCTTCATTGTTGGCTTTTTATCTTACATTCACTCTTCATTGTTGGCTTTTCATCTTACATTCATTCTTCATTGTTGGCTTTTTATATTACATTCACCCTTCATTGTTGGCTTTTTATCTTACATTCATTCTTCATTGTTGGCTTTTTATATTACATTCACTCTTCATTGTTGGCTTTTTATCTTACATTCACTCTGTTGGCTTTTTATATTACATTTACTCTTCATTGTTGGCTTTTTATCTTACATTCACTCTTCATTGTTGGCTTTTTATATTATATTTACTCTTCTTTGTTGGCTTTTTATCTTGCATTCATTCTTCATTTTTGGCTTTTTATATTACATTTACTCTTCATTGTTGGCTTTTTATCTTACATTCACTCTTCATTGTTGGCTTTTTATCTTACATTCATTCTTCATTGTTGGCTTTTTATATTACATTCACTCTTCATTGTTGACTTTTTATCTTACATTCATTCTTCATTGTTGGCCTTTTATATTACATTTACTCTTCATTGTTGGCTTTTTATCTTACATTCACTCTTCATTTTTGGCTTTTTATATTATATTTACTCTTCATTGTTGGCTTTTTATCTTACATTCATTCTTCATTGTTGGCTTTTTATATTATATTTACTCTTCTTTGTTGGCTTTTTATCTTACATTCATTCTTCATTGTTGGCTTTTTATATTACATTTACTATTCATTGTTGGCTTTTTATCTTACATTCACTCTTCATTGTTGGCTTTTTATCTTACATTCATTCTTCATTGTTGGCTTTTTATCTTACATTCACTCTTCATTGTTGGCTTTTTATCTTACATTCATTCGTCATTGTTGGCTTTTTATATCATATAGAAAATCATCTTAGTTCTTATTATAAGAAAACTTGTTATCATCGTCACAATGGGGGCGCTGCTTGCGAGTTAAATCTACAAATCTGCAAATAACTCTAAGGATATTCAAGATATTCATGAAATTATTTTTCAAAAACCTTTCCGGTGATATACCTAATAATATCCCAAAATTTCACGGCGATTGGATGTATGGTTTTTGAATCTATAGAGTACAAACAAACAAACAAACAGACATTCAATTTTATATATATAGATAGAATCTAATATAGACCTTAATCAGTTTGTAAGGTGCGACACGGTTTGTTACTGACCCACACCTGATTGTAATCGACCTCTATGTTTAAATTCAAATCTTTCAAAAAATTTTGAAAGAATAATAAACAACAAAATCATCAAATACAACGAGGAAATGAAGCTATTCAGTAATCTTCAACATGGTTTTACAAAATCTCGATCAACCATAACTGAATTAACTGAAATAATTCACACTGTTTAAAATACAAAGCCAAGGAGTATACGGCTATAATTGAAATCGCTATTAGTGGAGCTTTTGACAATGCCAGGTGGCCAATGACTCGATGAGGACAATATATCAGCATCAATAATAAAACTAATGAAATCTTACTTCACTAACCGAAAGATAAGATTTAATCTTCGAATAAATTCACTAAAAAATAAGTAAAGAATGTTCGCAAGGTGGACCCTTATCTCTGACAATTTGGAACATCATAATGAATGATCTATTAACCAACTTTAAGGAATCTAATAGCGAAATTATTGGATATGCAGATGATCTAA